GGAGAGGTGGAGTGGGGGAGTTTTCCGGCATGTATTTGCTGAATGACCAAACCGGGAGCATGAAGAGCAGTAATCCGGCACCTTATCATATTTGCATGGAAGCCAAAAATCCCTTCCCCCTAACCGAATGTGGAGTTTGGGGGGTAAAGCTAAGGAGACGTCCATTTCTACACAAAATCTAGCCTTTGCCGGCGTCGCACCAATAACCGTTTTAGTGTCCAGTTTGATAGGGCGCCCTAAGGAGGAGGCAATCGTAAAAAGAGCTCTGTGATCATTGAGGTGAACCGGCACCTGGGAGACCTCAACCCAAACCGGGGAGATTGGGTTGTCCTGTTTGGGGGAGTGGAGAGGGGACCATTTGCAGACTGTAAGCATCTTTCCCTGAATGTTCCAACTTCTTCTGAAAAACCATCTTTGATAGTCATTTTCATGCTTGAAAATGAAAAGAACCTCAAAGTTACCAAGCCGGCGAAGTTTGAATTCCCTGAAGCCACCTTTGATCAGGAAGTCTTCGAGAGTTGAGAGTGAAAGACGAGCACTGCTACGGCCAATGAGAGTTCTATTGAACTTACCGGCCAATACATCTTCCTCAGCCGCAGAGAAGACTATGGAGGGTGCTCCCTTGTAGAAACCATTCAACTGACCTGGATTATTTGTGAAGTCCCCTTTTAAGAGATCTACAAAGAGGGTTTTACAGTTAGGGGGATGATGATAGGAGCTGAGGTTCCCGGAGGGGTTTCCGGTCGCTGGGAAAGATGAGAGAGAAACTCCGGCCATCGATATATATATATATATATATATATATATATATATATATATATATATATATATATATATATATATATATATATATATATAGCAAATGTTGGGAGTTGTTTATAACTTTTTTAATTCTACAAAGTTCTGAATAAATATTGTAGGTTTCAAGACAATGCATTATGTACAGATTAATATGTTAAAAAACTATTTCTCTATTGATATACCTTGATTACGCAATAGTCTCCTTCGATCAAATAAAATTCCATCCACCAGGGGTTCACATGATTTTTCCCAAACAACTTGCGGGTGACTCATGGTATTTGTCACTAATAATGTGACGAACAATTTTCTAAGCTGATTCCCAGAACATAACTCAGCAGCTTCTTTTATACCTTCAATAAATTCCTTATCATCAGCAAGTACCCCCAATGCATCGCATGCCTCCTCAAATGAGTTATACAGAACATTGTTAACTGTCTTCAAGCTTTCATAACTTGTACACCCCCGCGACAGTTAATAGTATTCTCAAGTAGTATAACTCTTCGGTTCCTACAGGCATGTATTGTAAGCGGCCTATTGATGGTATTTGTTTTCTCGGATGCCATTCTCGATCCTTGTTATTGAACACAAAATGTCCTGGAAATTCTGCATACGTTAAATTTCCCCCCGCTTTGTACATTGAATTGGCAATCATCCAAGCCTCAAACATTGAAGGCTTGTAAAGATTTTGTCTGGCAACATCTGTCAATATTTGTTGCTCCTTAAAAGTGACAAATTTCTGTCCTGGGAGATGGAAATTCAACCTCAATACTGCTGCCCATCTGTGGTGTATAAGAGGATTCTCCAAGATGCTTCACACTATAAAAATTAAACATGAGGCTATAAAAATTAAACTCCACACCATAAAATATGTTCAAAAACAGGAGGCTATAAATCTGAAATTAAGGTCTGAAAATTAAGGACAGACTCAAGTCGTCAATACTTTAATAAAAAATATGTTGTTTTTGGTGCTGAAAATAGAAGATTCAAGCACAGCAGACTTATTACACGTTAAGAACGGTAGAGTTATTATTACATAAATTATAAGAATTCCTTCTTAGGCACTATTTAAAAAAATTTAGTCTCATGATTTTAGGCACTGGAGAAACTTCAACATGAATAGGCACTAAAAAAACTAAACAGACTATAGTGTGTTTTGTTTTTTAGTACTTAGAATCAGAACAGACTATGTTGTGTTTAGTTTTTTCAATACTTTGAATCTAGAGAAACTTCAAGAGACTAAAAATTAAACTCCACACCATAAAATATGTTAAAAAACAGCAGACTGTAAATCTGAAAATAAGGACATGCTCAAATCTTCAGTACTTTAATAAAAAAATTATTTTTTATGGTGCTGAAAATAGAAGCTTCAAGGAAAGCAGACTCATTATACTTTAAGAACAGCAGACTTATCATTCTTCATTTATTTATTCAATATGGGCAAGTGAAGAATTTTGGTTTTTATACAGATTAGTATAATTGTGTTTTGAAAGTAAAAGCAAAATAACCTTCCAGCCACTAAAAAATTATTAGAAATCCTATTAAACATAAATTTTATATTGTATGCAAAATACGAATAAGAATACAATTCTTACATGTTCGTCCATGAATATCATCTCAATAGAATTCGTCATCTTCTCATCATTATACACTGGCATTTTGTATAGTCGAGTCACACGAACCAAAACTCTCCAGCATTCACTTGATGGATTGATCTTCAGCAAAGGGTGGATCGGTTTGGAAGACATGTCGATTAATCAGAGGTTTTAGGTATAAACACGGTTTAAAATGAAAAAATAGATTGATGAAATGGCTTACTTAAAATTTGATTTATATATGACCTAATATAAATCGCAAGAAGGAAGCTTATAGCAATAAGGTAGAAAATCCAGAGATTTGAACCGGAAAATTCGAAAGAAGAACAAATTTCGCAGAGACTAATCATCATAAGAAGGAAAGAAGGCAAATCATCCCAAAAACAATTATGATTTTTTAAGAAAAGGGAAAGTTACCTATTCTTGGTACCGATCATTGGAATCTCCGTGAAAAAGGATCGTGAAGAAAGAAAGAGATTAATTCCAATCACATATTCTCTGAAATCTCGCGGTGGAGCCATTCGAAGATGAATATTGCAGGGAGGTGCAATCGAAGGAAAGTGCTGCTGATGTCTAGCTTCATTCAGACTTGCAGATGAATTCCACACAGAGTAGCCCAAATAAAAGAAGCCCAAAGTAATGAATCATTATCCAACCCGTTTGAAATATTGAGTAAGTCCAATATGATGACATGGCTTATGATGTGTCAAAAAAAATCCCCGTCAGCATGACAAATGTCAAAATTCTGGGTGTTAAACTCTCAAATATAATATATAAAGGATTGAGAAAATAAATAAAGCAACAAAGATCCATTCTAAAAAAGAAATATAATGAGAGACTATAAATAACGACCTAAGTGTAAAGCGAACATTGATATTAGATGTTTCTGAATACCTCTTTAT